GCAGATTCCTCCATGTGTGCATATGATCAGCCTACAGCTCTGGAACCAGAACCGTTCCTGCACAGCGATGTATGTTTGTTGGGTCACATCAACATGCTGTTTTCCAGGGGTAGGGTAGCAGCAATGGACCCTGTGGCCTGTCCAGCATGGTGGACAGAGACAGTGAGGGAGGGTCCATCCACTAAATGGGTGAGGACATCCAAGTAGCTCCATGTGAAGCTGCAACTTTACCTGAATGGAGGGGTGCTCTTGGCTGGTTTGGGGTCCCCAGAAACCCAGCAGCTGCTCCACAGGGCTAGCCACAGCAAGCTCACACACCCTTAACATGACTGCGTTTGTCCACCTAAGCTGTGCTAGTTCATGTTCCCTGCTTCAGTGTTCCCCTGTGCAGACATCCAGCCAGGGGGGCTTGGCCCATTTATAGGATCTTTCATATGCAGACCTCAAAGAGCCCTGTCAGCCTCTATTCACTGAGTCTCAGCGCCCCTTTGAGGCCGGTGACTTTGCTCCCCATTTAACACAATGAGGATGCCAAGGTGACTTGCCCAGGGTCACTGAGTGAGTCTGTGACAGAACTTGGACCAGAACCCAGCTCTCCGGACACCTAGGCCTGCAGCTGCCCTCTTGTGTAACCTGGACAATGGGGACAGCAGAGGTGGAGTCCTCCTGGATCCCAGCAGCCCTCTAGTGCGCGCTTCAGTGAGAACTGTCTCCCCCCCATCCGTTTGTCTAATAACACAACTACAAATAGTCACCGCTGGATCAAGCAGCTGCAGTGTGTGCGTCTCTCCCCTCCTGGGGCAGAGAACCCTATCGCCTATAGGCAACGGCCCTCAGCCTTTCCCGACATTGGCTGCTCTTCCCCGTCTCACTAAGAACTCAGGGATCTGGAATCTGTGGCAGGGAGATGACTCAGCCTGGCTTCTTAAAGTGATGAATGGGTCTGGCTGCGGGCGGGGGAGAGAGGGGGGCTGGAGATGCACACACATACACACACACAGTTTAGGATGGGAGGTGAAGCTGCCAACTCCTGAAATGTCAGAAACCACCCTCCAGGTGGGGAGCAACTTTGCCTTTTGAATCCTCCCCCATTGCCCTCTAGCCCTTGCCCCCAGCCCCAATCGCCAGGGGAGGCCTTGTTACGCAAAGATGCCCAGCCAAGAGGGGGCTGCAAGGAGAAGCACATGCAGAGGCTTCCTTGGGGGGAGATTGTTTGTTTAATTCAAACCAGAAGGTGGAGCTGGCTAAAGATGCCGCGGCATTAGCTTTGCGGCTGGAGAGGAGAGCCCTCATGCTGTTCTCATGAGCTGCTTGCAAAGGGCCCAGCTAGTGTCTCAGAAACCCGGGTGGAGAAGCAACCAGGGGGGCAGCATTCATCTTAAATCAAGGAACGTTCAGTTCCCAGGACTGCAGCCTAAGGCTGGACATGTTTGGGTAACTCAGAGAGGAGTCGGGGCGCTGGCTAGGCAAGGGGGAGGGAGCCGTGCTTTCTGCTTGTTTTCGTGGGACGTCAGCCTATCTACCCATCTCCTCCCTGTGTCCGTTTTGTCCATCTAACGTGTCCCAGAGCTAACTGTGGGTAATTTGGGGCAGGGACTCTCTGTACCGCACCTAGCACCGTGTATACCTGGTTGGGGTTCCTGGGTGCTGAGTTATTTAGCCACCAGCTCAGATGATCAGATATTGGGCACACACCACCAGGAGTGTGCTGAGGGCTCTGTGTCTGGCTCACACCAGCGCTGCCTGCCAATGATATGGAGCAAGGAGGCCATGTTGCTCTTCCAGAGTTGGTACGCATCAGAGCCAAACCCCGCCGGCCACAGAGACGTATTCTATAGACATCGGCCGGCTTTGGATGAGTCCCCAAACACACCTCTGGAAGCACAAGGCACATGCATCCTCCTGGCCTTCACTGTAGTTTGCTCCTGGGTTGCTCGCTAGACAGCTAAGAACCCAGCATTGCAGAAGTGTAGCATGTTTGGGGTCTGGGGTGCAGGAATCTTGCAGGGACCCTTACTGGAAAGGCTGCAGGAGGGTGGGGACTGGAAGAGATGCTGTATGTGTGTATGGGGGGGGGGGGGGGGGGGAGAGTTTTCTGTATGAGAAGGAGGAGACAGTTCCAGTTCTTTCCATAAAATGTGTATGATCATATGCTAGGGCAGTGGACTGCTCCTTCCATCGCAGCACCCCACACTGCTTTAATTCAGCCTGCGGCTGGTCCTAAGCCCTGGAGGAAGAGGACAG